AATATACTTTGCATTAGCAGAACTACAGCTGGATCTGCAACCCAGCTAAATTGAAATGACTAGATTTAAACTGGAATTCTCAGCAGGCTGACTTCATAGTAAGTTCCACTGAAATCAGGAGGTGAACATGGGAATGCAATGCACCTAGAATAAATTTGCTGAGTAAGGCTATTCCAACTGAGTAGGTTCTCCCTACTGTACAGATATATTTCCATACCAACAAATGATGTCTATTTGGATGCACATCCAGATGCATATCTGTATAAAGATGTAAATCTCCTTGTCCCTGAACTTTCTGAACATGTCTCGATTTAGCTGCCAGTACACATCTTCATGTGGATGCATTAAGTTGTTACTCGCAATTTAAGATGGATTTAAAGCAATATCTTCAGCACCATGCTGCCCATTTTTTACTCTTGCCTACAATTTGGATTCAACCCATGCTGAAAATAATCATGGGAAAAGGTTAATTACTCTGAAATTTGTATTTGTGCAGCCTGGCATTCTACATTTCAGTACATATCAGTCTATAACACAAATGTGGCAATAATTTCACTGTTCTTTCAAACTGTGAATTAAACACATTTCTTTTAGATCAGCAGAACTTTATGCACATGTTTTCCTCATGGGGATCCTTATAAAAGAAACTCCTCATAATGACACAACATAATTTCAAAAGCAACCCCACCAAGTGAATCAAAGTTCTGCATGTGGTGAATGCCAATATGTTCTCTATTTATTACAATCCCACAGCAGAGCTCTTCCTTTTCTTCTTTGAAGCTTATATTTTACAGATACTACAAAGAGATCCTCAGGTTTACAAAAAAAGTTTTCTTTTACATCTGGGTTGTTGTCCTTAATACCATAATGGACTCAAAGTAAATATTCTAAAAAGATGTATTGTTATAATCCTATAATTCTGAACATCATATCTGGCTATATTACATAATGATGTGCCTTACATAAAAGGATTTTTTATCCTCCAAGTTAGATTAATAAATTGCCCAAGTATAAACATTGGCTTCTAATGGCTTTGGTTCTATGCTGCTGACATACACGAAATAATACCGGTTACACGGCAATGCCGAGTTCTGTATGAAAAGAGATTCTGGCAACCTATCAGCAATTTTGAAATTAATAATTTCAAAAATGTTTTGGCATTTGCACCTTTGCTTACATTTGCTCTGCTTACTATTGCCTTCAGCCCACCTGTTACCAGAACACAGCCTCTGAGAGCTTCTTTAAATTGAATTTGAATACCCTGAATGTAGAACCTTAAAGGTCAAAACTAGACTCAGAAACTAACTAGTTCCCAGTTCTAGTATTTCAGAGCACATGTAGTTGATTTCTTCCTCTTCAAACTAAAGGCAATCCTTTGAAGTATAGGTCTTGAATTGAAACTCAGCAGATTAAGGAACAGTGTGGAACTCTAAATGGCCTTCTGCCAAAGTTGAGGGAGAAGATTCTGCCCATGTACAGGGTTCAATCCAAACTGGAAGCTTCCCTCTCTGTCCCTCCCTTTCAGTAAAGCTTCTGACACCACACTCAGGATGGCTCTTGTGGTTTGAAGGCAAGGCAGCAGGCATGGCGAAGTCCCTCCAACTGAGCAGCTCATTGCTGCCAACGCCTCCTTGCTAGGTCAGGAATTGCATCTCGCAAATGTTGCCCCTTCCCCTCCTGAAACTCTTCTGTCCCTTCCAAAGCAGGCTGATTCTCAAACTCTGCCTGAGAACCTTCACTAGGTAATCTTGAAACTTCAAAGTCCTCTCCTCCATTTCCTTCTCAGAATCTGACCGCAAATCTATCTGAACAGTCTGCAGTGAGCGAGAGATGGGCCCAATCTCTACAGTTCCCTTCTGTATCAAATAAAGTTTCCAAGCAGACCAATATGGAAGTATAAATCATGAAATGTTTGAGTGTTACAAGTTTCATTCCACATATTTATATCAGAATAACTTGCATTAATGACCATGATTACATTGCATCACCTGCTTGCTTCCATACTGGTTGTGGAGAAAGGGCCTTTCTCTCCTGCTCTCTGTTCTCTGCTCTGGTGATCCCCATTCCACAAGCCTGCTCATTCTCCTGAATAAAATTTTGGCATGACTGTATGTGAAATTAAAGGCAGATAAATTGTCATTCATAACAAGCATTCATGTTATTACCTTTGGCAGCAGGGCTTATCTTTTCCACAAGGGTTGATAGGATCAACAAATTAAATGTGTTATACCCTTGTTAGTGATATTTAGCCATGTCTGTAACTATATTGCCAAGACAGATGTGTGCATGGCAGTAACTGTATGTAGGAGAGCTCTCAAATCATACATTTTTGCTGGGATACAGGGGTACCTTATACTGTGTGCCACCATGGTAGCTTGAAAGCTGTTCACCAATAGTCTGTTGGAATTCTGTCACTACAGATGGCCAAGAGGTAGCATTGCTGCCACCAGTTCAGAATGGATCAGGTAGTGCAAGGCTTCTGTAAGATGCTAACTATGGCTTGGTCTCACAAACTGAGGAACAATGTTTTTAACGCAGGTTGAGTTTACTGATTTCCCATCTTTGCCTCCTGGCTTAATTTTCTTCTTCATTTTTCCCTACCTCCAAAGTTCCAAACTTAACAATAGATAGGTAATGCCATTGTGCTTAAGAACTGTCCAATATGGAATAGTCCTGATAGATCTCCACATGCCTGGATCTCCATTTGAAGAACACATACATAAATTGTAGTCACTGCATGGAACCTTTCCTATGTACTCACTAACAGCAACATTCTGAGAGATTACTGAATCTCTGAATACCAGCCTTTGAGTATGTAGTCAAAATAGCGCCATCCACAGGGGAAACAAGTGTCAGCATGCTTGGGAGAACCCAAAGATGTGCAGAAGTATGAAAAATATTAAAAAATTAGGGAAAGTTGGGGAATTAAATATCCATTGTGCTTTCCTACTACTGCTATGGTGAGGGTCTGTCCTGTGTTCTCACTGTGTTGGCTCTGTCTGGCTTTTACAATCATGTGTTTGGGAGATGATTCTGATGATCACCTGGGGAGGGATGAAGGATAGCTATGGGTCAAACAAACTATGACACTGTGGACTGACATGCCAGATAAGAAGAGGCATTCACCATCCTATGGCTATTCTTTCTTCTAATCTTTCTTTCATCCATAAGAACCAGAGTGAATTACTAGCCTTCTGTCGTTCTTACATGCCAGATTGGTTGATAATAAGTTTTTCTTCATGTATTACTTAATTATGATTGACCTGGTAATTTATTACTAGCCCTGGATTGGAGTGTTGGTAAGAATTAATCTTTCTGAGATATTTCCTCCTGAGTACTAAGTTCAGCACCAGAATAAATTAGATATTCAGAAAGGGGCAGTTGCTGTGATGCAGTTAATCTCTGTCTCTCTTGCTCTCTCTCAATCTCTCCATTTGAGTGCCAGTGTAAAGTTTTTGTGGGTATGACTTTCAGGAGAGATCAGGGATTCGGGGTGAGCTCAATGGTTTCCCTGCCTGAGTTGATGGAGCTAGTCTCAGATTTGATGAGACTAATCTGGGCAAGTTCCAGTATCCATGCTGAAGTTCAGGACTTCATGACCACCATTGGGCTGTCACAACATGTAACAACACATGTAGCCATTCATACTCTGGCTTTGGATTTCTCTACTGGTCACAAAATGGTCAAGGATCTTGCAACTGTTTCCTTGCCATGATTTGACCAGGAGCTATTAAGAATCAGGCTTGCAGTAACTGTTCCTCTATGCAGGGGTGGGAATTAGGATGGTCTGCCGCCTAGAAGCTAGAGATCTGTGGGGGAGGTAAGTATCTGCTAAGTGTCTGTTGAGTGGAAGTCCAAAAACCACAAGGTTATTAGATAAGGGAACTGAGCATTCTGGGAGAGTGTATGGCTAGCCGATTTTGTTGCAAGTCCTGCTGGTACAGAACTATTTCTCAGTTACTTTTCTTCATGCCATAATATCTATATACAAGTAGTAAGTTGCTTTCATGCAATATAACTTGTATTTCCTGCACAAGCCCTTAGGCTTCATTAATCTTTTTTTCCTCCCAGTGGGATACACTTTTTTAATAAATCAAATTATAGTGTAGGTCTGTAGTTTACAACTTGTACAAAAATAATCAGAATGAATACTGAAATAATCAAATTACTTGGTTTATCCTAACCCACAAAAACATTCTTAATTTAATGCATTGCAAAGAACTGCAACTAATCCTTCAAGTGCTACCAGATTTTCACTTGTACAGGATATGAAAAAGGAGCGATTTTTTAGTCCTGCAAGATTAAACAATCATTGGGGTTTAAAGGCTTAATCTGTTGCTGTTTGTACTGGAATAGCTCACAGGTCTCCAGCTCTGAGTGCAATTGGATGCAGCATTAGAGTCATTTAGGGGGGCGGGCAGGGAGAATTCTCCCAAGTAGAAGTGATCTATCCTTTGAAATGTGTTGTGGCGTGAAGCTGTAAAGCTGTCCTGCTGCCTGTATTTCTTTCTTCAGTGTCTGGCAGGATACCACTGCTGGAGGGAGGGCAGAGAAGGGGGAGCTGTTCTGTACATGAATTCAGGCTATTGTTTCAGACACACGTCTGCTTTAAAGTAGTATCACAAAGCAGACCGTTACTTATTCAGATGCAGAAGCTCCTTCCGTCACACAAGAAAGCCCATTCAAGTCACATGCCAGAGGTCTCTGCAGAATGGGCCGCTGCAGCTGCTTCAAATCTGCTGTCTAACATTAGAAGCAGTTGGACAAACCTGACAGCAGTCAGCCTCCCAGGCTCTGCAGAAGACAGGGAAAAGATCTGGGATCCAAGCACGATGCTTGCTGAGGAGCTATGGCTTGAAAATGAGAAAACCTGTGCTGTGGTTCACAAATCTAAGCGTGGAAGGAAACGTCAGGAGCTGCTGGCCGTGGCACTGGGGGTTAAGATGGGAGTCAAGGGGGCACTCTTGTGGCAACCTCTGAAACTCTTTGCCTATTCACAGATCACCTCTTTGGTCAGGAGAGCAGCATTAACACAAAATGACAACCATTTCAACTATGAAAAAGCACATAATTTTAAGGTAAGAAACCTGTGGACTCCTTTGTATTGTGTTAGTTGTGTTTTGCTAACATCATCAGATCATTGCACGTGCATCTGTGGCTTAATCTTTCTTATGTATTTATTGGTTTTGTACTATACCAAGAGCCATTGATTGTATAAATTGTTGTGATAGAAAAGAGAGAGTGAGAGAGAGAATCTCATTGCTCGATAAACTCACTTGGATCTTGACGAAATAAAGACATAGGCTGCATTCCCTTCTGATGACACACTCATCTCATTGAAAGCAGTATGATAGCAATCTTAAACCGATGTACATATAACTCACTGAAAGCAATAGGTCCTTTTTCTTAGTAAAATTGGTGAACACTGGGCTAAGGATAGCAGACTTATGCTTTCAAATTAAGTTCTTCATGATCCATATGTTGTTCCTCTGAATTTAACAACATGTACATTCTAAAATAGATAAACAATATATTAGCCTGATTCTTAATTCATTTTGTGAAGGAGGTTCTTCATGTTAAATACAAAAGACATGAAGCTGTGACTCACAAACACACACAAATACAGAGTGGTGTGATGGCATTGTTTAATATCTTTTGTTGAGCTCCATGTGCCAAGGAAGCACTCTTGGAGTTTGACTGAACTGCCTCTTGTAGAAAGCCTTTGCCCTCACTTATCAAATGCCGAATGTACAAGCAGAAACAAGTTTCTACAGTATGAACAATGTCTAGAAGGAGCTTTCCCATGCACTCCAGAACAGTCTTTGGGATAATATGTGTGCATAGACGAGAAGATGTGTGACTCACTTTCAGAAACTTGGCTTCCAGGCATCTTGTTCTCTGTCTCTTGCGGGAACTGCTGCATTGTTCCAGACTGAGGCATCCTCTAGCAATTGCAGTTAAAATTATCCAAATTCTTACTTAATGATTAGCAGGAACGGATGGACACTTATTTTGCAAAGAGGTTATGCTTGGATTTACCAGTATCTAGAAGCAAGCATTTATTGCTAACAGCCACCAGGGTAATTCACTAAAGAGAAATAAAAATCTATCACAATGTAGGAGAAGGGTTGCAATCACATCCTACCTCTAGGAGACACAGATGGCAGCTACCACGGAATATACTAATACACAAATGTACTGGCTTCACAGGTCATATCTTGTCAGAAAGAGAAGTATTTTGGTGTATGTCAGTTCATTAGCTCTGAATGTAAAAGGATTTCAATTATTTGCCATTACTTTGCAAATACTTATCTATTTGTATTATTTATTTATATTGCTTTGGCTTGATTGTATTGGATTCATGTTAGAATGTAAAAGGGCTGTTACTGGCCTATATTAAAATGTTTACAAATAAATACAAAACTTTCCCCCAGTATCTCCCTGATACCCTTCATCATAAAAGCCAGTATTTTTCCAACTAGAGAAGTGGACTCCTGTCCCATTTGAAACATCCTTAATGCTTGCAGATTTCCCCATAATCATCATTTTACATGAAAAATGGTTTCACTTTAGCCAGCACTGTATTTTCTCATGACTTAGGGCATATTTTCCACATTGACCTATACATTCTTTCTTTCCTCTTCAAAATTCCCCTTGTTTGGTGTTTGATTTAAAACTGGATGTGTGCCCAGAACCTAGTATTTGTTCACTCTAGCATTCTGCATACCCGCTTGCTTCCTGTTTGAAAGAACTGTAATTTAATGGGTAAATCATATGATTCTTTTTCCAAACTTTAAATACCTGACTTGAAAACGGGATTAAAAAAGAAAAAAGTTCAGTGAGGGTTTTAAGTAGTACTTTGAAAATGTAAAATGACCAAGAAAGTATATAAAATAGCTATTTACCATGCTAAAACATAGACTGATATCACAGGCTTATGCTAAAATGTTGTTTCTGGTTTTTGTTTAAGAAATGGAAAATGCTTCCCTAAAGTATATTTTTAATTGGTTTATTTATTCAGTAATTTATAGCCTACCTTTTTACAATGAGGGTAGTCAAGAGAGCTCACAGTTTTTGCAATAAAGGGATGCAACCGTAATAACAATAAACAATTTATATAGAAAACAACAATAAACAATTTAAATAGAAAACAACAGCAGTTAAATGTCTATAACAGATGGAATATTTAATTAAAAGTGTGCTGAAATAAAACCATCAACAGACAGGTACAGTTTAAGGAAGCTGTTCCACAATCTAGATACCACAAATGAGACATGTGCTTTCTCATCAAGAGAAGGATCTCTATAACAGAAGTATTTAGTATATTTGTATGAAAGGCGACAGTTCTGAAGATACCCTAGCTCCAAGCCATTTAGGACTTCAAACATCAATGTCAAGGCCTTGAATTGAGACCAGAAACAAATTGGTAATGATTATAGTCAGTAAAGGATCAGAATATTATGTTCTGATCATCTGGCTGCAGACAAAACCCTGGTGGCTTCATTCTAGCCCAATTAAAAATGCTGAACTGTATTCCTGTACACATGGGAATATGCAAATAGGTCCCACAATATGGCATTCCTTCCCAAGTACAACAGGATTACATGCATAGAACCATTTTTAAAATGCTACATATCTACCTCTTAGCTCTTTAGAAAGAGTAAAGGATTCAGCATTCCTTCTCTTCTGTTACTGCTTAATAGGAGAAATAATTGCTGTTCTGAAGCTTCATGTATTTAGCCTGGGTACTCCATCCTTATAGGCACCTACAATGATAGACCCTAAACTCATGTGTGTATACAGTTTCAATTAATAAATTAAAATTATCACTTCATGAAACTAGGAATCTGGGATAAATATATGCTGAAAGACTAGATTATTTTATCTGTAATTGCCCCCAGCTCTACGAATACTGATGAAAATAACACATTACTTAAGAAGCATCTCAGCCACTTGTTATGGAGCACGTTAAAAATAGTTGTGCTATAGAACTGAATTCATATGGAGGAGGCAGTTCATGACATTGAATTCTTCAGAATGTTTGGCATGTGCATTTGTCAAGGAATGCACAATACAAATCATTTTCTTGCAACCTAAACCAACTGGGATAATGTGACTACAAAGGTCACATTTCCTGGAATAACAAAATATCAGATCAGATCATGGCTGTGGTTAAAAATAAGAAATTGGTCCATTAAGTAAGTTTAGTACTAGGCACCTGCACTGAGGCCCTCTGATGTTTTATATCACAAACGCCTGCAAAACTTTCATTTGATTCTGTTGAATGAACAGTAGTTCTAAAAGATTACTAAAGTTCATTTGGATGAATTGATATATTAATTCATCTTTAAAAGGAATGTTCAATGGTAATGTCCACATAACTTTAGGTATGATTAACTATTGCAGAAATCAAGGTCTTCTGCTAGCAGTTTTTACCATTAGAGGCCCAAGATAGTTGTGACAAGGACAATTTGCTAAACGTTAGACCAAAAAGACTGTCTACTCCTACTGTACACTAAGCTTGTAGCTCAGGAGAAATCAGGAAGTGTAGGCCATATTACTTCTGTATTTGACACTAGAACCCAACAGAAGAGCCTTTTGCACCCTAGGTCCTGGCTTGGTCTATTGAGTTTTCATAGAGATAATTACTCGAGAACTCAGGATCAGTGACCCTGTTATTGAAAGTATCCAGCATGTTGTTAATGACACTGTTTTATACTTAGCTTCACCTGAATCTTCCTTATCATCAGCAAAAGAAGTAATACATAACTACGGCAAAATATTTGACTTCACAGTATTTCAATACAAATTGTAGCTTATTTTATTATTATTTCATTTCTACACCACCCCATAGCTAAGTTTTCTGGACAATTCACAACAATGAGTAAAAATAAAACAATTATATACAACACAAACATCATTTTAAAAAGCAACAACATGAATTAAAATAGCTAAAACATGCAGTAAGTTGACCCTGTAAAATGAAAATTACCTGTGATGGGTAATGCCCTCAAGCCTCTGGGTAACTAAGTAAATCTTTAAAGGCTTCACCTGGTGCTGAAAAGATCACAAGGTTGGTATTAGAATCATAGAATAATAGAGTTGGAAGGAGCCATGAAGGCCGTTGGGTCCAACCCCCTGCTGTTGAAGGACACCAAGTTACACCGTCCCACCCACATTGTAGTCCCAAGACATGTAAGGCTTGATGCAGCTTCTGAACTTTCATCAGAGACAATCCAGTGAGCAGTTCGTTGCAGTAATCTAACCTGGAAATTATCAGAACATTACTGAAAGCAGTATATCCCTGTCCAGATGGAAGCATCGCTGGACCATCAGCCAAAGCTGGTATTAGACAGTCCAAGCTACTAAGGCAATCTTAGGCTCAAAGTGGCAAGGATGGGTCAAGAAGCACCCTTTATCCAGAAAAAGGAACTGCCAACAGTATCTCAGTCTTGCCTGGACTGAGTTTAGGTTTGTTAGCCCTTACCCCGTCCACTGTTGGAGCCAGTCACTGGTTTAGCACGTTCATAGCCACACCTGCTGAAAATGAATACATCTGCATGTCATCAGCATACTGACAGCAGCATACTCCAAAACTCTAGATGACCCTGCTTAGCTGCATCATGTGAATGTTAAATTGAATGGGGGACAGAAAAGACCCCTACATGAAGGAACTCAGTGTTGAAGAATGAAAAGAAATGAACAATACTCAGCCCAAGTGCCACCTTCTGGAAACAGCCTCCCAGGTAGGAGTGGAACCACTGCAGCACAGTAACCCCCACTCCCAACTTGGAGAGCTGGCCCAGAAGGATACCATTTTCAGTGGTATTGAAAGCCACCCAGAGATCCAGCAGTATCGACAGGGTCATATTTCCCCGTCTCTCTCCTGGCATAGCTCATCATACCAAAATGACCAAGGCTGTTTCCATGCCAAAACCAGACCTGTACCCTGACTGAAATGGATCCAGATAGTCAGTCTCATCCAAGAGTGCCTGGAGTTGAATGGCAACCACCCTCTCGAGAACCTTGCCTGGGAAAGCAGTGTTTGCTACCGACCTATAGTTAGTGAGGTGTTTCA